ATAAGAATAAAATTGAAGAAAAAATAAATAAATAAAATGAATAAATAAATAAATGAAATCAAATAAGATGACATGAGATCAAATACTAAGAAACTATATAAATTTACAGATATACAGCAAATTTAGGGAGTGATATCAAGTTATACATGAGTTATACATGAAAATAGATAATAAGTAACATAGGTAATGCATATAAATGTGTGTATAAATGTAAAAATGCAATAGTCAGATACATATATATATATACATATTTACACTGAGAGAGTTATTAGTCGCTGCGGTTGTTTCTCTTGTCCATACTAGTATTTTTAATGTAGTCTAATGTACTATTATTGGATCATGAAAATATACATATATTCAGACTTCTTTAACCACCATTTAGAGTCTAATTGTCCTCAGGTGCAGTATATGCACTCTCAAATGTCTTCTTATAACTTTTATGTCCAGAAAACAGCTCAGTGTTAAATTTTTAGTGTAACAACTATGTGATATAAAAGCCCTTTTTTTCCAGAGCTGGTGGAAATCAAAAGCCAAAACCAAATCAGAAATCAATCAGAGCTAAAACATAAGCACTGGGCTAAACCGGGATAGAACACCAGAGAATATTACTTCACATCTGTATCCTCCTGGTCACTCTGGGGTGAGTTCAAGAGGGGCCAGTGCAACAAGAATGAACCCTGCAATGAGTGCTAGTTGAAACATTCAGCTCAGCATTTGTGTTAAGCAACAATAAACGCATCAGCAACACAGTGTCTAATGAGTCCAACCCTTACTAGAGTCTGAGACTCCTTGATTTTGAACATCTGCTTTATTTTATACATCTATAAAGTTCATAAAAATCCACTTGATAGTGCAGATCTGTCAGATGGTCTGTCACTGTAAGGATGAGAACCTGAGTTTACATCAACATTTGGCTTTTAATAAATATCTGTTTATCATTATCCAGTTTTCCCAGGGAATAAACTTCTACACTGCACTCAAAACAGAAATAGACTTCAAACCAAAGTTTTGGCATCTTTCTGGTGTCATGCAGTGCATTTCACATAATTTTTCTTTGACTGTTTTGTTTATTTTCTTTGTTGGTGTTTTTTCTAAAAGGATTGTGGGTTTTAGAAGTTTGTGTATTTGTGTTTTATTTTTTTTGAAAATCAGCACAAAAATGACATCAGTCTTCAGGTTGTATTTCAATTTTAGTGTGCATACATACAATGTATAATATAAAACTCCCTGTGTAAGATGGTACTGTAATGGGGTCCCCAAATAAGCACATATTAGGTTAGGGTCCCCTGTTTAGTGAGCCTTTGTCCCTTAAATCCACAATTTGAAGCATTTTCATACAGAAGTATCTACACTGCACATGAATAGATATTGACTAACGAGATGAAACATTATTTGAATGGCTTCTTCTTCTTGAGCAGGGATAATTTCTACATAATGAACTGTAGATGTATTAAAAGGTTCTTTGTTAATCAGGTTCTTTTAAAGCTTATTCCCTCTGACTGCAGTTTGAGAACCATCTTAGTACAGAGCTTTGCTCAACAAGAAGTCCCTTTTAAACCCAGTGTTGGCATGTGTGCTTGAGCAAGTCACTGAACAGATTTTAGCTGTCTTCTAGGTAAATGTGACCTCTGACCTTCCTGCATGAGGTGAAAATTAAGTGCCTTGTTTTCTGGTATTATTGCTTATTTTATATCAAGGTGTGTATATTCAGCCTTTTGCCTATGAACTCTATTTGTTATCTCCTGTTGAATTCTACTTACTGTACTTAATTTCCCCATGGAAATGTAGTTTCCTTTTTTTTATCCAAATGTAGTTCCATGTGTTTCTCTTTTCACCCATTTATCTGTGCATATAGGATCCGTTTGATTGTGGTGTGATACTGTCTCTCCTAGATCCCTCTTGTTACATAATGCTATTTTAGCTGTCAGAAGCAATCACATGCCAATACAATGAGTTGCGTTTAATCCCAGTTGGATATATGACATTGAAAAACAGTTAATATCTTAGAGGATGTTGCTTGGAGGGGGGCATATATCCCAGGTCTGGACAGATTAAAATCTTGGTTGGGCCTATCCCCAGCACTGCAACAACAGGCTTCCAGCTGTGCAAGAATAATAATCCCTCTGTTTTAATCTGCCTAAGCGGGAGGTGATCCAAGCCCGGGTTCGAATGCCATCCAAGGGCACCGAGATACACTGAGAAACAGGTTTGATGATAAGCTATTATGAATTGCCCATATGTTATGTGCTAGACTGCAAATAGAGGCTTAAATGTGTGTGCGTGTTCCTGAGAGAGGAGCAGTATGGGAAAGTCCAGCATGACATCTGGTGATGGCCTCGATGGACATTATAGGATCTTTCTGGTGGACTCTGTCAATTGCTACTATGATTATTTGGGCCTAACACTGATGTTTATGTGTCCATAAGCGGGGACGGCTCCAATTCCACTCACAACAGCACGGGTTTAAGGAAGGAAGGCCTAAATAGTGGGGATTACTCTCTCTCTCTCTCCCTCTCTCTCTCTCTCTCACTCTCTCTTACCCTATTTTTCAGCATCAAATGATCTGCCTCTCATTTCAGTCCCTGTTGCCGTGATGACCACAGGCATGAGCACAGCAGGTGTTCACCGAGGCTTCCTCAGGAAATATGGTAGGCCTGCTTTGACTCCTTCATCCGTGTGCAGTGCAGCTC